AAAATTTGTTATCTGACGTTAATACTGCGACAATCTATACCTAAAGCGTGTAATATAAAATGACGTATATATTTTATAAAGTTTATTTACGACCCGACCCGTCCCGTCCCGTCCCGGCCGGGGGTACCGTTCCGTATCTCTCTATATTGATTTACCGCGAACCGATATTCTCCGCCAGTATCATATTTTCCATCCCGCGAACGCGTACTCTCGACAATATCAATTCGAAGATCCGACGACTACGAACGAGAAGTTTATACGATTTTATTGCGAGCAAAAGTTCCATGCGAATTAAACCAAAGATGTATCTTCGCGCGTTACGTATCGATCTGAGACTTTTCGCGGAATATATGGGGCAGTTTAAGGTCGAGTATATTTTCGCATTATACATGTCATTTTTCGCTACGATGACTATTTAGAGACTTGCATTCATTGGATGATATCTCTGTAATTTCTCAAACGGTATATTTTTAGCAAGTAAAGTCTAAAGAATAAAATATTAGTATATAATTGCAGAGAAAAACGGTTAGTATCTTGTTGTTTTAACATAGAATATTTTAATATAATTTACGGAAGAGAGATTATATTGATAAAATAAATGTTTAAGTAAAATAAAAATAACAATTGATATTACGATTCAAAATGTATTGTAGAAATTTACAATGCGTCGGGCTCAAGGATACGCAATTCTAGTTACAAATAAACTTTTTAGCTAACCTTTGATATATCGGAAAACATTGGTCTCTTTTAGATCGATTAATATAATAGAAAACGTATCGTTTTCTTCTCTTATTAAATTATCGTTTGCTCTCATAAACTTCCATATGCCAAATGCGCGAGCTGCATAATATATGTAATATGTAATTTTATTAAATATTAATAAAGCTTGCTTGGAGAATATAAATTTGCATAATTCAATTAAATTATTAAATTCTCGTTACGTCGATTTGTATCATACTATCGCGGAATGCGGCGCAATTATATATAATTACAAACGATATAAAAGTATTTGATATAAAAATCATCCTTATTAAATCTGAATTCCAATATCGGACATTTAAAATCGCTAAAAAAGCAAGGATGATTTGCCAAACTTTTATTAATTAAAAATTGCTAAGTAAGTCATAAAATTTGTTATCTGACGTTAATATTGCGACAATCTATACCTAAAGCGTGTGATATAAAATGACGTATATATTTTATAAAGTTTATTTACACGAGACCGTATGATAAATTTGGTTGCAACACTATCCTCAGATTGTCCATAATGTGTGCATCGGCGAATGCACGTGGCGAGGGAGCCGCACACGTGAGAGTGCGTGACATTAACCCGATTAATCCCGACTTGCCGCCGATGCGATCGTTCGACGCGCTCGGACGGTCGGTGCAATGCAAATTGTGCGCGACAGAACGGCGGTGTAGTCGCGAGAAATATGCGGAAAGGGCAGAACCTATCTTAGATAAACCGAACGTGTGTCCGTACTATCGAAAATTATAGTAGTGATAAGAATCGTCGATGTTAACACTTAAACGTCTTTCTCAAATAATTTTCGATCGTGGCGTTACCTTCTCTCTTCTCATAATTAAAGCAATATGCACGAAAAAACCAGGAGATAACATTTTAATATATTTCATACTCGGGAGGATAATTCTTTTTAATATTTTAATAATACTCCTCGAAAAGATGGAGAGATTGATCAAGAGAGAGAAATGCGAGATGACTAATTCCTTTTTTTTTTTTTTTTT